GAAGAAGGAAGGAGGAAAAATTGAGGGAGCCATGGAGGAAAGCAGGTGTCCGGCTGACCAGGAAGCTTTTTTATTTTATTGTATTATTTGCTTTATTTATTTCATTTCTAATCAGGTCCATGAGGGCAAGCGAAGGTTCCTAAACAGGATGTTGGCATCCAGGTTCTCAGCGTAACCTTTTCAGAGATGCTGCCAGTTGTATGAGCAAAGGTTAGCTGAACAGGCAGAACCAGTGTGGGGGAAATGGTACTGGAAAGAGGTCAATGCGCTGGGCCCTCCGAAGCATCGCCTGAGGCTCTTCACAAGCCCAGAATTCATGCAAGCCAGCAGGCGGACCAGAAGCTTCTGAAATCGAACCTCTGGCAGTGGGTGGGTGATCGAAGTCCTGAGCAGTTTCAGGGAGGGGAGGTGCTTATTACGCATGGCAGCTGGTTAGAGCTGCTGCTCCTGTTGCGACTGGAGCGAACATGGGGTTGGTAACAAGCCCCCGGCGGCCATCAGTCAGTGACTCCCGTTTCCCTTCTTGAAATGCTTCCGGAGTGGCAGCCATCACTGGGTGGTGGTTGAAACAGTGCTGCTCCTGCCGCCACCACCACTTAGCATCCAAGATGACCATCTTCATTAAAAGCAAGCAAAAGAACCAGGAGACCCCTCCGCTGCTACCCTGTGCACCCTCTGCCAGAATTATTGGGAAAAGTCACCCTTGTTAAAGAGAAAGGAAAATGCTTAGGGCAGGTAGGGTGTGGGAGGAAGGCAGCCAAAGGACATGAGGGAAGTTTCCTTAGTTCTGAATGCTATGGAGGAGGCGGGCAGCAGGAGAGACTGCGTCCCGTTAAGGTCTACCAGGAAGGCCGTTTTGCACAGACCACCTTCCAGCAGAGTGCGCGTCTTTCTCTGTCGTGATGCCAGTGGCAGAACTGGCAGGTCACTGGACTGTCCTCGAGTCTCTTCTGCTGCCTCCTGAGGACATTTGGCCTGACTCAAGACCACTCACTCGTCCTTGGTCCCGATTGTTCTCAAATCACTTTGAGAGTTGGCTTGAATTTTCTGAATGGCAAGACAGGATGAAAATATCCCTGCAAAGAATGACTAGAGCTCAGGATTAGCCAGTACAATTGATCTAGTCAAAGCAGACACGTGGAAATGCTACAAAGAGTTAATTGGTTAAACTCACCACCACAACACGCTTGCAGGCAGTGCCACTGCATTTGATGGGTTTGGAAAGGGTGAGAGCAGCCTTGTGGGGTAGCATCCAGCACAGACCATCTGCCAGCTCTAAAATTATCGGGCAGGGTGGGAAACCAATGCTGGCTAGTGCATTGTAGGAAACTGGCTGAAACAACCACATCTAGAACAGGATGGGTCAGCGGAGCTTCCTCCTGCGAGCTTTGCTGAGACCCCCATTCCAGAAGGGGTAGTTTCAGTGCATTCCGGCACTGGATGCTGCCCATAGAGAAGAGCGCTCATTGCCATTCGGTTATATAACCATGTGGAACTTTCAAGTTCATTGGGTACCTGTAAATACCAGTTGCTGGGCACTTACCTGGCTATCATTGCAAACAGGATGCTAAACTACTTGGGATCTTGGACTTCTGTTTTTAAAAATGTTCTTAAGGAGAAAGAGTTTGCTTTCAAAAGTTACAACTTACAACTCAAAGGAAGATGTAGCAGTATCATCAGGCAATAAATATCTGGACACTTTCTGGAAAAGCCTATGTCAGGATTGCTTGGTACAACCACATTGTCTTGGCCACTGGTGACTAAACATGGTGTGCATGACCACACATTGGGTTGCAAAGAACGTGCATTTACACAGCTTGCCTGCGTGTGGCACAGAAAGCAGCAGAAAAACAGTAGTGTTCATCAGAGTGAGCTTGCACATTTTGTGGGTGTGATAGGAAACCTCTGGTTGGCTTAGTACCCCATCCCTCTATTGTCAGAAAGTTGTCTTAGGTGAAAAGCAATGTTTCCCCTCTATAGAAGCGTTGTTGGTGTGCTTGCCATAACAGTAGCTACAACCATCTCTTCATAAACATAATCTAGGCACCCAACTACTGCTATTTCTACTACAAATGATTGTTCCGGGGAAGGGGCCGAGAGGACAGGACTGTGTACCCGTGGGGACTGCACGGGGTTTCTGTTGGCAATCCATGTAGAAGTCTGGCCTCCAAGGAGCTGGTGGATCAGTTCTGATTAGTATGCCCATTGCAGCTTCTCCAGAAATTTTCCTTGGGCTTTCACTGTGTCAGGAATGCTCTGCGACCATGCACACAGAGGGCCCCCACCAGGGGCAGAACAGGTCCTGAGAAGATCCGACCGAGGCCACAGGGCAAAGAAATAAAAAGTTTGGGTGCTTGTGCTCTACAGTCTCCTTCTGGATGTCTTCCAGGCCCCATCTTCTAAGGACACCCCTGTTTGTCTAAAGCGTTGTATAAAGGGGAGAGGAGGGGCATTTGATTTCAGAAAAACCCTCAGGCAGAAATATTTGGTGTGGGGCAGAGGGACAGTAGGGGAGAGTGGATGAACAGGCAGCTAATCCGCAGGACTGGATTCAGTGGAGATCTTGAGGCCCCTCCGCCTTCATTTCAGAAAGAGCCGATGGACAGCAGATACGTGGCACGAGGCCTCCAGAAATCCAGGGCTCCAGGTGGAAGATAAGGAGAGGCCCACCTAGGTGAGGGCTCCTTGACACTTCTCTGGCCCTGCACTGGCAAGAGCCCCCAGAATTGCTGTTCCCCTTCGTGGCAACCTGCTCAGGTGGCGGTGGTGAGCAGCACCCTGGACCACTGCCAGGTTGCCCACAGCTGGTCAAGCGAGCAGTAGCACCGACGGGAAAGGGGATGAGGAAGAAATGGAAGCTGAGGGCTGTGGCAGTGAGAAGGCCCTCACAGCATGGAGAGGGCCCTTTGGGGGTGCCTTGTCCAGGGGACCCCAAGCTAAGTGCAGCTGTTGCAGGAGCATTCAAAACATGGGGTTTCCCACATGTCTGCAATAGTAGCTGCCCACAGTCACATGTTTCTGCTCCGGGGGCTGCTTTGACCATTACGATGAAAGCTGGGGTAGCAGAGGCACAGACTGGCGGCAGTTCTGCTCCCCCCTTTCTGCTCCATTATCAGCATCACCCTTCCCAGATCGGTGGTGTTTAGCTAACATCAGAAGATGTGGCCACGAGTGAGATGCATGAATCCCATTTTGCATGCTCCAGTAGAAGTAGAGGGGAACAGAAAACTGAGGCCATCCACTTCCTCAGCCCCACATGTCCCTCTCATGTACAAAGCAGCCTTTATTTTACATTGCTTTACTATCCGTGCCACAAATATACTCTTTGTTCCCTGTCTTTGCATTGCTGGAATTCAGCTTTCCCCGATAAAAGCGGTGTGTTTCGCATTTCGACACACAGTTTGCAAATAGTATGTTGAGCATCCTTCTTTCAAGACCTTTTGAATACGGTTTTGCGCAGTATCGAGTCTTCTTCGAAACCTCCTTCACTATCCTTCAGGGAAATGTTTGCAACTGCCAAGTGCCTGAGGATAAGCAAGGGCATGCTCTTGTCCGACTTGCTTGAGCTGTGATGTTTACAAGTAAATGGGAACCTAGCTGCATGTGTCATCCGCTCATGGTCCAGCTAATTTCCTTTTCTGCCCTCAGTTAATCACTGACATTCAGAATGCACAGAGCTCTGCTTGTTGAGCAATTTAACCTTCTAATTGCACAAATACAGCTATACTAACTGGTATGATACTCAGCGATTTATTTGTACTAATAAAGTCACAGAATTTGTTGCTGAATTTCAATCCTATAGTTTTCCTTATAAATGATAAATAATGTCTGAGGCTGAAGGAGCATATTCCTGAACTCTTTGTGGCTATGATGACTGGAAGATTATTTGCTACAAGACATGCCAGGTTCTGTCATCTGCTGTCTTCCCAATTATCTCTCAGGAGTATCACAAATAAATCACAACATGATTTTTCCAGTTAGCTATGAGCTGGCATACTGAAGTATACCAGAGTACCAGTTTGTATAGAGGATGCTGCACAGTGGGACATACCCCCTTTCTTTAAGCAGAACTAGAACTTGCAATGGCTGCCTGAGGGAAGTGGGGAAAAGAACTTCATGTAGTCTGCATGTGAAAATTAACCCTTAGAGTCCTGCTTCTAGTTCTGTGTCAATCACAACAGCAGTTTCATTCTTCTTTCTACTGAATTTATGGTGCTGGATTTACCAACTGCAAAACCCCCTCACTTTGCTAATGCGGAACATACCCTAAAGCAAGGCTTTCCTATTCTGTTCTTAATGAGAGGGGGGAATGCCAAGATGAGCTGAATTTGGAAATTTGCTAGAAAGACTTCCTGATGTTTATTTCTCAAATGCTGTTCTATATAAAATGCACAAAGCTAGGTATAAAAAGCCAACACACGTGTATTAGGCTGCCTGGACAAAAGTTATAATCTGGAATGTGCTTGTGCCTTTAACAGCAGCAGCTTCTGTGGGAAGCAGCAGGTGCAACTTCTCACAGCAAGGTTAGCAGAGCTACCTGATTCTGTCCTTGGAGCAAGCCGCTTTTAAAAGGCATAGGAGCACAAGCTGTGGAGAGGTTGGCAGCCCTAATTAGAGAGTTGAGCCATTGCATCTTGAAGTACTCTGTAGAAAGAAGCCAGTTCTTTAAGGGTTAATGTGGGATCAAGGTGTCCTGAGAGACGGTCCTGCTTGTTCGTTCTTCAAGTTGCCTGCATGTTTGTTTCTGCTGCTGATTGAACCGGTGAACAGTAAGAATGGCTGTCAGTACAAATTGTTCCTTTTTATTAAGAGAAAAGAAGAAGATTAGGATAAATGCCTGCTTGCTTTTGGGAGGTGGGGAGGGTCCAAACACCCGCCCTAATTACTGAATTCAGCCCACCAAATGAGAAGAGTGGGCAGCTCTTGAGTTTTTGGCTGTGTTTCTTGCGTGAGAACGCTATTCCCTCTAACTTACACCAATCTTTTCTTTTCCCAAATAGCCCAATAGAATCTTGCCAGAATTTCTACAAAGATTTCACGTTACAGATAGACATGGCTTTCAACGTGTTCTTCCTACTCTACTTTGGTCTGCGTGTAAGTACCTGCCACTCCCTTTCTGCCCATTCACGGGGCAGGTGAGGCTCTTTTGGCTTGGTGTAGTGGTCTGTTTCTGGGGATGTGCTGAAGTCTGTTGAAGCCAGACCAGTTGCCCATGTGCTTGGAGCAAATTATGCATTCTGGTGAGCAGCAAATACCGAAGAAACCTGCAGGTTCACAAAGACTGTTTTTATCAGTGAATCCTTGTGGAAAAGAAACATTCACTCAAAAGAGTGCTGACAACAAGAAGAGCTTTAATAAAGTGCTCTGTATCACCCTTGTGTTTAATTCAGCTTTCCCCAACCTGGTCTCCTCCTGTGCTGGACTACAGCACCCATCATCCTCAGCCAGCAATTGCCATGTTGGCTGGGGTGATGGGGGTTGCAGTTCAGCATATCTTTGAGGGTACCTGATTGGAGAAGAAGGACTTAAACACTCTTTGGGTAGCCACAGGTGTGCAGGCAGGTTACCAAGTGGCCAGAGAAGGGTCAGAGTGGGGAGAAATCCTTCCTTTTGTGCACTGCCTAAGAGGTTGGGGAGAGTTCCTTGTTTCTTTGCTGCTGGTCCAGCCCTCCAACAGGCTAATACTAGGGTGGCTGGTCTCCCAATTAATCTGGAGGTAAACTTGGCCATCCAAATTAAAGGTAATGGTTTCTGCATGTTAGGATACTACCCAGGTATGCACAAATGGATATAAATTAAAAGGAAAATGCATGGCCTAACAAACGCTTGTGAACTTTGAGGTTATTTATTTATTTGAAATACTTGTATGCCGCCTACTCTACCTGCAGCATCTCTAGGTGGCTCACACTACTAAAGCAGAGTTCTGTGGAAGGCTGATGTTCTATCAGAGACTATAGACTGAAGAAATGGAGCAGTTCACCCTATTTTCTGGAATGGAGCTTCCTGGTTCTTTTAGAACCCATTTTCCTAGAGCAGAAGTGAGGAGTCCCCATGGAAAAAAACCTCCGAGCATGTGTGCCCTAGGCACTTGTAGGCCCTTTTGGATCTGGACGTGCAGTGGGGTGCATCCTTAGTCCTGCAGTGCTTATGCTTGCGCTGTATTCCCTTGCGCATGCTCCCTCTCAGAACTGGGGTTTGCTGTGCCTTCCCATCCACTCCTCCCCTCAGCACACCTGTGTCTTCCTTTCCTCCTCCTCCTCTGCAAAAGGATGGGGGCGAGGGGGAGACAATTGCGGAACAGGTTCTGCTGATCCTGCCTCGGAATCCTTGCTCCTAGAACATTCCTGGCGCATCCTAGGAAGCGGATAGATAGGCACCATCTAGGGCAGGATCCAAAGAGCACATTCGTGGAACATTCCTCTTCTCCCTCTCCCTCTCTCCTCTGTTGTTGGTTTTGGACATCAACCAATGTCCAACACAACCCTGACTTGACCTCCCAGTGGCATATTTCCACCCATTTCAACTGCTGGAGATTCTCCCAAGGAATCCTTGGAAATGTCACGGTTGGGTGATGCACTAAGTTGGGTGATGCTCTTCCTTTCACAGATCAGAAGGAGGTATTATTAGGCCATGGAGAATCTGCACTCCAACTCAGCCCTGGAAGCTTTTCAGTCTCTCCTCTCCTCACACCAGCTCCTAACAAACCCGACTCCGTTTGTGAACTGTCCTGCATGAAGCTTTGTAATGGTCCCCCCGTTTTCCTTTGTCAAGGATATGGTAGACACAAGTCTGCTTTGTGCTAGGAACTTTACCACAGTTTGATCAGAGGCCAAGAAATTATGGGCCATTTATTTCCCTGGCAGGGAAAGCAAATTCTCAGGTACAGCTTTAGGAGAGAAGAATGAAACCCTCTCCCCACCGGCATCCTCACCCCTTTCATTTCTCCCTCTCTTTTTCTTTTATCAGTTCATAGCGGCCAACGACAAATTATGGTTTTGGCTGGAAGTAAACTCAGTGGTAGATTTCTTCACAGTCCCTCCAGTGTTCGTTTCAGTGTATTTAAACAGAAGTTGGCTGGGTAAGTAAAATGGCATTTCTCTTCTTAACTGCTGGGTTAAAAAAGGAAAAACAAAGAAGCTGACGACTTAAACCAGGCGAAGCTTGGCAGAGGAGTCCTTTGACCAGTGGCACGTGGAAGGGAGATGTCTGAGCTCTTGGAAAGATGTGGAATCATTGTGTCCTTTGGCAGAATCCTTTCTCCAAACCTCTGTAGTTGCCCTGATGCAGGGCTGGGCAAATTACGGTTTTCCAGATGTCATCGGATTGCACCTTCCATCCACATAAATAGCAAAAGCAATGCCAAAGGAAGGGATGAGTGGCAGTCTAGCATCCGTAGGGCACATGTCACCCTTTCCTGCTGTCCTGAGAGGTGTTGCTGACTGCAGTGGAAGGGGAAAGCTCTGGTAACTTTACCATTAATTTCTTTCTCTTTATGGGTAGGTCTGTTTCCTTCCAAGAGAACTGCAAGTTTCTATAGATTATTTGGGGCAAAACAACACATTACACACATACGCATCCAGCAGAGCCCCTAAATAGCCATTTTTCCAAGGAACGGCAACACAAAGAGGGTTGGTTGACCAAACTGAAATGAGAAGAGGGCCAGCAGCAGCCCAAGGGTTAAATAGGCCTTTCATCACTAGGGGTGCCTCCACTCCTGCACTCCCCTCCCAGAGCTGCTTGTCAGGGAAAACTGTGGCTGTTGAGCCTGCGCAACACTCCTTTAGGAGCAGTTTGGCTCCTAAACCTACCAGGAAGACATTCCATGACACCCCCTTGAATTCACGCCATGTGCGCTGCTTACACTCACCCTGCCTGCCTGCCTGCCTAGATCACAAGTCCAGGATCTTATCCCGCACTCCATGCAATTAACAAAGAGCAAGGTTCCCTCTCAACCAGAGGACCAGAGTCCTTTGCTCAAAGCAAACGGGGGCTAGGAAAAGGCCAACATTCCCAGCCTTTCCCCATTTTTGCAAGAGCATTTGCTAACTGCTCCCCACCGCTGGCTGTAAGTGCCTCCTCCCCTTCCTGTATCTTCTGCAGAGGTATCCCTGCTGCTTCTGGATTTGGTGGCTGTAGCGGCTATTTGCTGCAATGGTAGGCAGCCGAGATCTGTAGGCAGAAGGCACCCTGTGCAAAAGTCAGTCTAGACAGCCTTGCTGCACAGTGATTTTTCAAATTCATAGGCTAGCTTGGTGATTCCCATTCACGAAGGGGTCAGCCCCACCGACCTCATAGGGGGGAAATTATACTTAACACATTTATCAGTTATGCTTTCCCCCAAGGGATGGTTGTGCGTGTGTGTTCATTTTATATACAGTTGAACTTCGACTTTCATGGGTATAACTTTTGCAAATTTGATTATTCATGAATTTGCCATCAATAATTAAATGGGATTTTTAAAAAGCTTTTGCAGCCTCGTCTTACATGTGAGTCGCCTTATACGCTGATACCTACAAGTATTTTTCTGAAACATACTTCCTGGGTGCTTGTTCTACACATTATTACTTTATATCAGCATATAAGGTGACTCTTGAATATTGTTTCCATGTTTTTGCTTTATCAAAAATTTGACATATGCTGAAGTTTACCAGCTGAAACTTGTATTCCTCACTCTAAAACTCTGCTTCTCCTGCTAAATATCTGAGGATCCAGTTGTTGTTAAAGATAACAAAAATGGGATGGGGAAAAATCACAACTCGGCTCGATAGCAAGACCCATTGATATATTTTAGTAGATAAAATACAGTTATTATATTTTTAAACAAAGTCGAGCGGTGACATTGACATATGATAATAATTACAAGCTTCACAATTTTAATTTCGAAATTTGCTAGCCTGAGGATCCGTCTCATTGTGTTCTTTTGATTTGTTGTCACAGATGTTATAAATGTCACAGTATTTCTTTTCCGTCCAAAATGTGATTTAAAGAATTATGTGCTTCTGCCATCTAGTGGCTGGTCTGAAGCATGGCTCCCTATGCGGAACCAAGTTGGTTTGTTCATGCCCAAGATGTCTTCATTAAGTTGTGCAAAGTAGTTGCGTTCATCTCTGACACAGCTGATTGTGCGGAGCAAAAGGAACAGCACGTTTGCTTTATGTTGGCGCTCGATTGCAATACCGTGATGGAAATAAAACCTCCACGGTGCAAGGCTGAGCATGGGTGACTACCAAGCTTGAAACCCTGGTGCCCTGCACAGAGCTGCTCAGTCGACCCGCAGCCCGAGGTGCTTTTCACAGGTGCTGCTCTCCAGCCACTTCTACCCATTCCTAGGCCCCAGGTACAAGACCTTGCACTTATCCTCACTGAACGCCATCCTGTTGCCCCTGGCCCACTTCCATGGTCTGTCCAGATCCTTCTGGATCTGGAGTACTTGCTCCTCAGTTGTGGCCACTGCCCCCTTTTTAGTATCTTCTGTGACTCTGATCAGCAGACTGAACACCCCCTCTTCCAGGTCACTGATGAAAAGACTGAACAGGATCAGCCCCGGGACAGAGTCCTGGGGGACCTCGCTCGTTTCTGAACCATCTTTAAAGGCAGCCCCATGGAGAATGTCTTGCGCTGATGCCACCTGGTTAGTCCCCTCTCCGTATGTGGCCACAGAGGGTGCGCTGACCCAAGCACCCAGGAGACACTCCGTCTCAGCTGCCGCTGCCCCCAGGGGTTGCCAACTAAGTTGCAAGCCCAGGAGAGCCTCCAAGCCACGGCCCTTGGAGCTTCAGGATGACTGGCGTCAAGGCTCCATCCTGCACAGCCAGTTTCCACTCCCACAGTAGACTTATCTTGTCTGGATCCGGTGTCATCTTGTTCGCTTTCAAGCTGCTATACTTTTAAAAACTTCTATGCAGTTCATACTTATTTTTCTTATATCAGATGTGCTTACATTTTCAACCTCTTAAACTAGAAGGGATGTTGCCAAAATAACTTGTATATCATGTAATAAAAGTAAGTGAACAGATGCATTCGAAATAGATACTCTCAGGATGCATTTACACATCTAGCACAGATATTCTCACATTTTATTCTTAGATCTTTTACGTGTAAGCCCCCGCGTGGATGCCATTGGCTGGGATATTGGAATTGTTGCTTACTTGCTAATGGGTTAGAGCCATAACTGAAGATGCCATGCTTAGGGAGGGAAAAAGTGAAAACAGGACGCAGTCGTGTGTCTCCATTCAGAACGTGCCTCAGAATTATTAAGAAACTTTTTAGCATCCAGAAAGCTAACATTTTGCACACAGGTTGCCGATTTCTGCATCCACCTTCCTTCTCTGGCTGATCCTTTTCTGCTTTTAAGCACTGAATCACACTAAAGACTTCTGGGTGATTGACACCCGGATCAGGATTTATGGAGTAAGTGCTTCCTTTGGCCTGGGATTAGGATCTGCTTTCTAGGGTGCTCTCGAACTACAGTTCAGTGCTTTGCTGGACTGAACTGCAGCATCTGTACTGACCCACATTAGATTAGAAATTAGATTAGAAAGATCTAAACAGGAGAGCAGCTTGTTCTGAAGCATCTAACAGAAAGCACCAGCAGAGATGTGGGGAAAGGGACCATTCCACTGCAAGCAGGTGTAGAGAGCTCTGCTTTCAGGTTGTAGCTTGCTTTCTCTATCAAAATTGTTTCACTGGTAATGAGGAACTTTAGGGTGTTTCCTGAGATATCACAGAGCACCAGCACCCTCGTTTCTCCAAGCAGTTCAGATTCGTTTGCTTAGCCATAGGCCAAGGCAAAAGCGCCCAAGAACAGTAACAACCAGATTCAGCACAGAGCTTGCTGCTGCTATTACAGATGCTGCTAAGCGTAACCAGAGATAAGATGAATGACACTCAAACCTACTGAAGTTAATGCAAAGTGATGTGTTTTAACCAGAACGCAGGAAACAAACATTTCTGCATACAGACAGGGGTTTCCTGTGGTTTTAACAGACCAGTGGCATTTATTTGCACCCTCAGCGTCTCTTGGCTCTGTGACGAGCAGCCCCCAAAGAAAGTTTATTTGGAAACTAGGATGGAAACTTTAGTGTCCTTCTGTTTTAAAAGAGTGTCCTAGAATCGTAAACAGTGCAGTTGGAGGGCTCCATCAGGGCCAGCCCTGCTCAGCAGGGGGACTAGCTTCCCCGCTGTTTAGTTGACTCAGCTGCGTGGTGCTGAAAATTGGACAGTGATGGATTCCCAGCCTTCCGCACATTGACGACACATGCTTCCTGTGGGGTTTAGAGGAGTCCCTATCGGATTAAAAGTGGCCCAGGCTCCCATCCCCCTCCATTGCAACCAGCAGCAGGACGAAGGGCAAAACTCTGCAGAGGTGACAAGCAGAGCTGCCCTGATAGGATCTGGCTTGGCCCCAGTGGCACTGGGGCAAGAAACAGGTCTAGCATTCGTGCAGCGTCCCAGTGCATGCCCGCATTGTAAAAGTCAATGGCTGCCCTTCGTGCCGATAGGCATTCATGCCCGAAGGACAATACCTTTTGTGGAGGGGGCAAAGCCGCTCCTGGCAGCTGTGAGGACCATGAGAAACACCCTGCTCTGCAGTGGGTGATTACTTGCTTGAGTGTAAGTAAGCCTGTGGCCCCCATTTGGATTGGGGGGATTTAAGCTCTTTCCCCATGTTTTGGTCTTGAAATTCCACCCTGCCAATGAAGGATAAGGCATCTCCACTAGAATCCAGCCTCCTCTGCCACCTTGCCATGGGCCTGATCTAAATCTGGGCTACACACATGTGAGTAGCTCAAGCAAGGAAGCCAATCACACTCAGCAAGTTTGGCCCCCAGGGGAATCACGCAGAGCTGATAGGTGCATAGCTGACTCTCTGCTCTGTGCCCAGACCTGCTTCCCTTTGAGGATCCTTCCAATATGCAAATGACTCTTCCAGCCATCGGAGGCCTTGATGCTGCCTTGCACCAATGGCAGAGGCTGGTGGGAATTCTACCTGGCTTGTACTTGGTGGAGTGTGCCTCCTTTGCACACCTAAGTGTGGACTGGCACAGGGTTGCTCTCCAAAAACCCCCCACGTTCCCG